GTCGAGCAAAAACTACCTAGTATAGATTGTTAGATGTGTATAAGAGACACTTGCAGTAGCTTGTAAGTAATATCAGGCACCAGTAACTGGGAGTAACTTGATATATTACTTGGCAGTGGAGGTGACTATCAGCATGAAAGTAAAGTAACTGGGTAATTGTGGTAATAGGAAGTAATTCGTTGATTATAATTGGTAGAAAATCCAAAGTTTTTTAATAATTGGCGGGTCCATCACAATGAGTTCTTTCTCATTACCTTTAATCTTACGTTTTATTCTATTCTTTTCTATTTTTGCAACCTCTTTCCCAATCCGCCTGCTCTTCCCAATCCCCCCTATACACATTATCTTACACCACACCTACAATACCCACTTCTATAAACCCCTTCATACTTGCCATTAGCTAACTTACCCCTTCCACCAGTCAGACGTATTCTCTTCGAACCCTCCTCTCCCATATACTCCTTCACTCCACTCCTCTACTGCTCCCTCTTCCTTCCTTTCACACCCACACTCCCAACCACTCTCCACCACGCACCCCACTCCTCACCACTCACCCCATTCCCCACCCTCCCCAGGTTCCTGGAGTGGTTCCCTCCAGGTTGGGAGTTCGTAGTCGAGGCAATGCTGATCCGCGCTGTACAGGCTTGTTGTAATGCCTTCGTCATCACCTCCACCTTCGCCTTCATCGTCAGCGAGTTCCCGGACAACATTGCCAAGCTCTTCGTCAGTCATGGCTTTATTTAATTTATTATTAATTAACCTCGTTGCGGTGCTAGTGTGCACTTTTTGGTAAAAACCGTACACACATGTGCAGTGCAGTAGCATTACAGCATTATAGCATTACAGCATTATAGTGTAGTAACAGTACGGTGGCGGTACAGTAACAAATGTGAAATGCAATATATTAAAATACAAATTGTTAAATAGTCAAGGTTATAGTAGCATTTTTTAGCTAATCCCATTCGCACTTTTCGTGACTGGTTGGTCTTTACCATTTTACAAAAAATCTTTACAACTCTAGATTTGCACGTTATTCTGATCTATATCAATTAACAAGTCGATTAAATGCATAATATAATTGACCTAACATACTGAATATTTTAAATATTACCTATAATACTAACGAAAATAATTTATATAATAAAATGCAAGAAATAAATGTGTTTGGGCGGCAGGCGCTGACGAGAACGGCGATGAACGTGGCCCAGATGCTAGGCCCCGTGGTGGGGGGCGCGCTGTACGAGCTGGGGGGCTTCAAGCTCCCCTTCCTTTAACTATGCACTCCCTCTTTCCCACCAATAGGGTCCCCTTTCCGTCATTAATCCCCTTTTCCCCTCCGTAGGGGAGCAGGGGTCGAGGCAGGACACCCCCGCGAGGGAGGTGACGTTGCTGGACGTGGTGCGCATCCCTGGGATGTGGATCAGCTTCGTCACCTTCGTCTTCTCGACGATGAGCAACGGCTTCCTGTCCATCACCCTCGAGGCCGTCGTCCTCAGGAAGGTCAGTGCAACTTCTGTCTTATACTTTATAATAATAATGATGATAATTAAAATAATAATAATAATAATAATTATAATAACGATAATAATAATAGTGGTTTCCGCGTTGATTAGGCCATTAGGCCTGTCTCCGCTTCTTAACATCGCTGAACATTCCCAGCTTGATGCAGTCTCGAACACGCAACTTTCTGCTCCAACTCTGGTACTCTGGACTGTAACCACTGGACCACTCTGCCCAGTATCAGTTTAATATTATCAGCTTCATTTTTTCTTTTTATCGGTTTTATAGTGATGTGGGTCATTATATCAGTTTTATGGGAATCTGGGTTATTAAATGAATTGAATATTGTGCGATTATATGAATCGGCGACAAGCCTACGGCCTAATAAACGCTGAAACTGATATATATATTATATTATGGCGATAAATATTACGTCATTTTTTATGGTAAAAATGGGTCATTACATCACTTTGTCAACAAGTTCTATTACATAGATTAATTTCGTGTGTTGGCGATAGCTTATGGGATATGGAAGAATCCTTTCCAATACTCGCACTAATCATATTCTCGAAGCTCACACAAATCTACATATTGTTACTTTTTACTGTTACTTTTTATTGGCCATATTTAATGTTACTGTCTAATGCAAGAGCAGACGGTTAATGTTTTAAGTTCTTTATTCTATAATTTTGGGTCTATGCTTAATGCTTGTTCCTTATCCTTTGCGTCTTTTTTTCCTTGGGCACAATGACACCTTTTTTTATGTCGAGCATAAACTAGTCTAGATTGTTATTTAAATTTCTCTATAGACTCCGCATATTTGGTGTTTCATTAATTGTCCAACACGATCAAAATTATAATCCGGATTAGTTCGTATCTGGATGCTTTCAACACAAGAGGGACAAGAATCGTCACGAAAAATTCAAGAACCGGCAACAGGCCATGGGCCTATTTCTTCAGTGCCGACACTTCTATTCTAAGAATAGTTTTGAAATTGCTCGATCTAATGTTGCAGTTTCCCATCGAATACTGCCGTTTTTTTAAACATCTCCGTTTTTTCTCACTATTTAGCCGGCAACAATTTTAGCCCATTTCATTGTTTCAGTGAGTACACAATAAAAGAAAACATTATTTTCAATACAAATATATTTTTGTCCCGCTTCAAATATAAATTTCTAAGTTATTTCAGTTTTCTCTCTTGAGCAAACTTCTTTGAGATTGAATTTTAGCAGTAGCAATTTTGATATATGTTTTAAAAGATTTGAAGAAATAAAAAATCGATGCATTTAATTAAATTTAAAGGTAGTAAAACCACAAAAAATATTATTAAAATGATTTATTTGCAGTTCAACATCTCACACCTACACGTTGGCTTCCTGTTTGGCCTCAAAGATGGCGCCAACAGCATAGCGTCGCCCATGTGGGGGCTTCTGTGTGACCATCTGGGCCACCTGCGGGCCATCATACTCGTCAGCTCCAGCTTGGCCGCCCTGTCCTTTACCCTCCTGGGGCCGCTGCCTGGCCTCCCTCTGCAGCGGTCAGCGCAAAATATTTATTCAGCTTTCTTCTGATATCCTAACTATATTTGAATAAAATATTTAACATAAATATACATACATTAATTGTTTTCTGCTAGTCTAAGCTGCTTGGACTGGTGTTCTATTACTCTACTAATCTCAGCTAAATATATTAAATTAAAATATTGTAATATATTTATATGTATTATTAGTATTAGATGGCATTGCTGGAGGAACCCACCAGCATCATCATGCAGTGCTGGAGGAACCCACCAGCATCATCATGCAGTGGCCAAACATCAACCGACCGACGATAGCTGACAGTTCAATCTCTACGGATTGAACTCTACCATTTATCTCATAACTACCTGAGTTGTCTGAACTTTGAGATTGATTCAGAGTGATTTTTCTGATGCAAAATTTTACTGCTTCACCCTACTTACGTATATTATGTACTTATTTAAAAAAAATTAAATATTTATTGTTTCTTGTAACATGGAACTGAAGGTTTGTTGCATTCGAAACGTCGTTAATAATCTAAAACTATTTCATGAAACATGCCTTCCGATATACCAACGTCATTTGAAGAATTGTTCGACTCTGATAATTTAAATCAACGAATTCTCTGGTCATTAATCGCCTGTGTATACGTGTATATAAGTGAAATATTTTCTACTAATCTCAGCTGTTTAAAAATTATGAACGATGGCCGATGTTCCAATTTCCTCCGTTATTTTGTATTTGGATACGATAATCGCCAGTAAAAAAACATGGGGATTTTTGTACGTTTCATCCGAGAAATAAAACCTGGGCGTAGAAATATTATTTCTACTGAGTTTATTTAATATTTATTTATTTATATATCCAAATAACTTTATGAATACATTTCATCGCGCGGCAGGACCCATGCGCTCGTCGTAGCGGCGCTCGTCATCAACGGCTTTGGTGTTGGCGGGCAGCAGGTGGCGGGCGTCGTGCACGCCATGAAGATGGCGGGGTGAGTGGCGGGCAGCAGGTGGCGGGCGTCGTGCACGCCATGAAGATGGCGGGGTGAGTGGCGGGCAGCAGGAGGCGGGTGTCGTGCACGCCAGGAAGATGGCGGGGTGAGTGACGGGCAGCAGGTGGCGGGCGTCTAGGCAACCTTCAGGTCCAGGATCAGCGGGATGAGGTACCTGGTCATATGACTTTGTCATATGACTCTTTGGAGAGATGAAAGGAGAGTTCGTCAAACTATAGACATGCAAAAAATTAACTTGACTGGACTCTAACTTTGGAAATGAGATCTTCAGGCTAGTGGCATCACAGTGGCAAGAGGAGAGTTTGGGTGCTTCGGAAAGGTTACCTTTCCGAGGCAGGACTGTGGCTGTTTAACGCCTTGCCGATTGAAACAACGGGAGAAGGGGGAATTCCCGTTAAGACCTTCAAGAGGCGACTACACGCCTTCCTGAGCGTAGTCATCTGCACCACTACCTTCATCAAAAATGAAGTATCGTTAATCAACTGGCTCAACTAAGGGCCGATGTACTACAGTCACAGTTAACGTCACTCATGGTAAAGTTTTAGACATCAGCGTCGAAAGCCACGCTTGTCCACGCTGCCGTGCTCGTCGCCGACCGCCCCCGGCAGTCGCCACGCCGGTCGGTCCTGGCTGCCAGGGTCTCGGAAGTTGCGTTCTCATGCAAGGTAACGCCACTACCACGCATCTGCCCTCACTTGGCCAGCTGATGTGCGATGCTGTTGCTTGCTGTCACGATACTGTCTCTTGAAGCTCTCTGGGGCAAATTTGACTTCTCTCCTCAGCTCCATTACACATAACATAGCGATGTCGGCGCTGAAGAGTAGGCCTCATGTGGCCTGTCGCTGATTCTTGTACTTTTCGTGACTTGGCGGACAGCAGGTGAATGTCATCGGTAAGACATTCAACCGCCTCGGTCCAGAACGAGATGGGATCCATCCGGCCGAGTTCGAACTCTGACCGTAGTTCTGTTGTTCGCAATTTGCGATCCTCCTTTCACTGTGGTTGGTCATAATCCCTGAAGTTTGTCAGGAAGGTTAGGTATGTACAAGCGGTGAACTGCTCTCGCAGTTGGTGAAACTGTTTGCAGTCTCCGTGTCGCGTCCTCATCGCCAGAGGACGCAGATGGTTTGCGGAGAATGAAATACAGAATTTTGAAATCTTACTGTACTTCTTTTCAGTCCATCTTCACATGACGTGCTCTGCAAAACAGAGTACCATAAGAAGGCAGAACTTGAAATTACTTTTAATAGTAACTCCTAGAAACGTTAGTCGGTAACGATTGAGCAATTTAAGACGCTTAGGAATATTCAGAAATTTCCATATAGGCGGCAACAGGAGATATTTGTCAAGGAAAAATTCCGCTCAGGGTTATACAGTACAAAACTGCCTGGTTACGTTACACAAGTGAATTTTAAATAGTAATTGATTCAATAATCATGGACAATTGGATTAATTCGCACAATCACTTTGATATTGCAGTAAGCTAGAAAATCAGTCTCAGAAAAAACAAACACACGTTATAAATGGGGCAAAACTGCTAATAATTGACAGTATCAAGATCATTTATGAGTTTAACCGGATTCAATGAAACAGAACATAGTTTTCAGGTTGTGCATCATGAGATAGAACATCATGAAACAGTAAACAATGCTT